GTGTTGGCCACCTGCAGAGACCTGTAGGGGTGGAAGTGCGGGGTCCCACGTGGACTTCTGTGCACACCTAGGGGAGGGGGTCGCTCTGGGGGTCTGGGGCGGAAGTGGAAGCTGGGGCATGGACCCAGTGGGGAGGGGCAATGGGCGAGGACCTCCTGCAGGGAGGGGCAGGGTGGCCAGGAATTTACAGCTAGGCTTGAGGTTTAAGGACCCTCCCAGGGTCTGACCTGAATACAAAAGACTGGGGACCCCTGTGGGGCCACCCCAAAGACATGTGCTCCCCAAGGCAGATAGGATGCCACCCCTGCCCTCCCCCCAAGTCCAGGCCCCTTCCACCACCCACAGGTGGCTGCTTTGTTCCCTGTTCCCTTTCCCGCTATGACCCCAGCCCCCTCCTGTCCCCCCTTCCTGCTGTCACTACCATCACATCCAAGCCGTGCCTCAGCACTGCAGCTGCTGCCTTCTCAGAGGACCCTTTCGCAGATGGACACCGGCCAGGTCACCCCGGGGCAGGCGCAGCCGGGGCCCAGGCCTTCCCTGGGGAGGTGAATCCATAGCGGCCGTGTGCTCCCCCACAGCTGAGTGGCAGGTGGCAGAGGCGGTGGCACTGGTGCGCTCGCTGGATGGCTGGTCCGTGGTGCTGACCCTGGTTGTGCCCACCAAGACCCCTGAGCGGAAGCTCATCTTTGGCAGAGGGAACTTGGAGCGCCTTACAGGTGAGTCTGCCTCCTTCCCCACTCCGCTCCTGCCCCTGCCCCCAAGAACAAGAGGTCAGGGACCCCCTGGGTCAAGGGAGCAGCACAGGGTCCCTTCGCTGGGGAGGGGGCTGCACCTGCTGCGGGCCTGGGGTTGAGGTTTCTGCCAAGGGCGCTCAGCTCTGGGGGTGGGGGTGGAAGCTGCACCTGCTGTGACTCCCTGGCAGCCATCCCCCCAAGTTCTCACTCAGTGCGCCACGAGGCAGGATTCTGCAGAGACCCCTGCTCGCCTCAGCTGCTGGAGACCTCCCCAACCTTGCTGGAGGCTGAGGGTGGAGCTTGGGGGCGGGGATGACAGCTGGGGGTGTGGCAGGGACAGGGCTGGGGTCTGAGGGAGGCAGGGGGCGGGGCAGGGGACAGCAGGAGTTGTGTTCACACTGCATGTGCAGGTATGTGTGCGTGTGTCTCACACACCCCTGAAGGTAGACTCTGCTGGACCCCACAGCAGGCAGTCAGGGATTCAGAGACTGCGGCTCGCACGGGTGTGTCCCACAGGGGCATCCACGGGGCAGTCCCTAGCAGTGTCATGCTCTGACCACTTGCGGTTTCTGTTAGAGACAATCAGGGGCGCTGCCGACATCACCTGCGTGTTCCTGAACCTGGAACGGATGGCTGCTCCCACCAAGGTGAGCCAGGTGCTAAAGCTGCATGTTGATCTGGCCTGGGGAGGCCCAGAATCACCTGTGGCCTCTCTCCTTTTCCAGAAAGAGCTAGAAGCTGCCTGGGGCATCCAGGTGTTCGACCGATTCACCATTGTGCTACACATTTTCCGTGCCCATGCCCGCACCCGAGAGGCCCGGCTTCAGGTGGCGCTGGCGGAGCTCCCGCTGCTCAGGTGCGGGGAGGGCATTGGCCTCAGCAGCTCGTCCAGAGGGCCCTGTACCCCACTCAGCTTCAGTTGGGGGCTGGTTTGGGGGGTGTCCAGTGCACCACCAAGTGCAACTAGCCCCTCCCCCCAGGTGAACAATGGCACCTGCATGTGGGGTTCACGTGCCCTGGCAGGGGGCCACACCTGTGCAGGGCAAGGTCCCTGTGTCCAGTGTCCCCTCCCCGGGCACCCTCACCTGGAGCCACCTGCCTGGCTCGAAGTCACTTCCTGTTTCAATACCAGGTCAGGCCTGAAAAGTGACATCACTCAATGGGACCGCCAGAGAGGGGGCTCCCGCTACATCCTGGGATCAGGTAAGGAGTAAACCATAGGGGCCGGCTGTCCCCCAAAAGACCCCTATGTAAGGTTGGTCTGTGTCAGATACACAAGCCAGTTACCCCATGGGTAACACGTGGGACCAGGTGAGTAAATATATAAGCAGCAGCTTGCTTACCTGTCGGGTGTGCAGCAGAGAAAGTCTGAGAGAGCACTGGCTCCACTCAGCCTCTGGCCCCAGCTTCACACCACAGCACGTGGAGTGTGTGGGGGAGGCACAGTGCCTGCGGGCAAGGCATGATGCAGGTGCAGGCAGGGCAGGTGCGGAGGCAGAGTGCGGGTTGGGCACCCGAGGCAGAGCTCACTTTGACAATAGGTGAATGGAGGGACCCAGCCACCACAGGGCCCTCCTGATCTATCACCTCCCACAGGTGCCACGTGGCTGTTCTCCGGGAAGGGGGGCTCACAATGGCTACACCCTGGGGCTCCAGAGCAACAGGAACTCAGCGGTGGGCACCTGATGGTTAAGACCCCCGCATCTCATGTCAGAGCACCTGGGTTCAAGTCCTGGCCCCACACCTGACTCCAGCTCCCTGCTCATGCACACCTGGGAAGCAGCAGCAGGTGATAGCTCAGGTCCTTGTGCACCTGCCACCCACCTGGGAGACCTGAATGGCGCTCCTGGCTCCTGGCCTCACCCCATTGTCCTTTGCTTTATGACACCATTCAAATAAGGTCCCATCCCCAGGACCTGGACGTCAGGACAGGGATGGTCTGGTGGACCATGTTCATGCCACTGCAGACAGGGTCCCGGCTGCCCCCCAAGCTCTTGCTTCCTGTGAGAGAAGGACCTCCTGCTGACCTCACACGTGGACACGTGCAGGCCAGGCCACCTTGCTCCAAGCAGCACCATTTCTCACAGCACAGGCCTGTGCCGGCTGCATGGGGAGAGCAGGCTAGAGGTGTCTGGCCATCAGGGAACATAGGCCCTTGGGCCCACCTTGGGCTTCAGGGGTGTGGCCTTGGCCTTGGCCTGGTCTGGTCTGCCCCAACTGACTGCCCAGGTCTTGCAGGTGAGTCCGCCCGGCAGGTGCAGCAGCGAGAACTTCGGGAGAAGGAGGCTGGGATCAGGAAGGCCCTGGAGCGGCTACGAAGGAAGAGGCAGCTCCTGCGGCAGCAGCGGGCTCGGCGGGAGCTTCCCGTGGTCTCCGTGGTGGGCTACACGAACTGCGGTGAGTGAGCGACAGGCGCAGTGATGGATGGGTGGGCGGGGCTGTACCAACTGTGGTGAGTGACAGGCTCAGTGATGAACTGGCGATAGGCAGGCAGGTGTGCATGTGTGCCTTGTGTGTGTGTGTGTCTAACCCGTGACCCCGTCCCAGGCAAAACCACCCTGATCCAGGCCCTGACGGGCGACCAAGCCATGCAGCCGCAGGACCGGCTCTTCGCCACACTGGATGTCACAGTCCACGCTGGGTGGCTGCCCTCACGCCTGCCCGTGCTCTACGTGGACACCGTGGGCTTCCTGTCCCAGCTGCCCCATGGTCTGCTCGAGTCCTTCACGGCCACCCTGGAGGATGTGGCCCACTCCGTGCGTAGGGGCAACCCCTAGACATAAACTCCCTCCAGGGGAAGGAGGACCCCAGGGAGGGGGCAGGGGCTGGGCCCCAGGTTGGGGGGACCCTAGAACAGACCAGCGACACAGGGTGGTGCTGGGGTGATCCTTGCCCATGCCCTGGCTACCCCAGGCTGGCTGCGAACCCAGGGAGGAGGGGACAGAGGCCACCTGCAGCCCCCAGGTGTGTCCCGCCCCACACCAGGTATCTGTGGCACCTCCCACCTGCTTGCACCTGGCTCTGTAGAGATGGCTGGGGCCCACTCCATGGCACTTGCTGTCCCATGCCACTTGTCTCACAGGTATGCAGTGCCTAACTATCCCCAGACAGGTAGAGGACCCCACAGAGCTGCTGCATGACCCCATGTCCCCACAGGATCTCATTGTGCATGTGAGAGATGTCAGCCACCCTGAGACGGAGCTGCAGAAAGCCAGTGTCCTGTCAGCCCTGCAGGGCCTGCACCTGCCGAGCTCACTGCTGGACTCCATGCTGGAGGTGCACAACAAGGTGGACCTGGTGCCGGGGTGAGCATGCGTCCCCAGAGGCGGCTGGCCACTGTCCCCTCATGGCACCCACCTGTCTGTGGCTCCCGTGGGTGGGAGGGTGAGCGGGGAGATCCTCGGGGCCAGTTCCCAAGGTTCCAGTGAGGTCTCCGGCCATCTACAGGTACAGCCCCTCAGGGCCCAGTGCCGTGGCTGTGTCTGCGCTCCTCGGGCATGGGCTGGAGGAACTGAAGGCCGGACTGGAAGCAGCCATTTTGCGAGCCACGGGGAGACACATGGTCACACTCCGTGTCGGACTGCAGGGAGCCCAGCTCAGGTGAGCAGCCAGGCAGGATGCACGGAGGGTGGGGTGTGTGTGGGGAGGTCATTCCTTCACCCCAGTCCCCGGCATCCATGGGTACCGTGAGTGCCACCCCCTGACTGATAAGGAGTGCGCTGTGGGGCTGTGTGCCTGCGTCCACGGGCCGGGCCCCAAGGCCTCCCCTGCGGTCCGTGAAACGAGCTTGGATCCACAGCTGGCTGCACCGCGAAGCCACCGTGCAGCAGGTGCACGTGGTCCCAGGGGCACAGGCAGCGGATGTGGACGTGATCATCAGCGACTCTGCACACCGCAGGTTCCGGAAGTTGTTTCCAGAGTGATGGCACCAGGTGCAGCCGTTCTGGAACATATCTTGCTGTGGGGGCGGGAGGATGGGGCCAGAGCGCATGTGGTCATCACTCGGGTGGCCTCTATGTCCTACCCCTCTACCTCCGCTAACCTTGCAGATCTGCGCACCCCCACTACATATATGTCTGTGATGAGCTATTAAAGGTAAAGTTGTGGCTTCTTCCCATGTGTGCGTGCGTGGTTGTGGCAGGTGCACGGGGGGCTCTCAGGCACCTGGCCTGGGCTTCCCTCCATCAGCCTCTCAGGGTTCAGTCTTGGAAAGAGCAGGAAACTGCAGTGCCATGCGGGGAAACCTGCACAAATGCACAGCTGTGGAGAGAGGCGGAGCCGAGGCTGGCCGGGCCAGGGTCCCCCACTGCAGATGCAGTGGCATGCTGGATACTGGGCATGAACGTGACCCGTCTCTCAGGCTTGGGGGAGTAGGAAGGAGGCCGTCAGAGACAGGAGATGCTCTTCAAGCCTTTTAAAGATTGATTTATTTAAAAGCAGCGGGAAAGAAAGAGAATCTTCCATCTGCTGGTTCCCTCCCCAAATGGCTGGGCCAGGATGAAGCAGGAGACTGGAACTCCATCTGGGCCTCCCAGGTGTGCATGAGCAGGGAGCTCCAGTGCCTGAACAGCGGAGCAGCCAGTACTTGAACTGGTGCCCACAGGGGATGCTGGCGTCGCAGATGGGGGCTTTACCCACTAGGCCACAATGCAGGCTCCAGTGTCTCCTTGATGCAGACTTGGCAAAATGGCTCCCTCCAAAGCCAGCACTGGCCAGGGTCCTGCAGCTTGGACTAGAAGGGGACCCTGTGCCTGGCAGGTGAAGGGAAGACATTGCTTCTCTTCCTCCTGACGCCCTGGAGTGGCTGCCTCTCAGACTTCACCTATACTTACCTGTCTAGGGTCACACTCAGCCAAGGGCGAGTGCTGGGACCCTGGACACTCGGGAGGAGGAGGGGCAAAGACTCAGGACTCCAGGAGGAAGAGGGTGCTGGGGGCTGGAAGCTCCTGGCAGTGCCGCCTCCTCTTCCTCCTCACCGCCTCCTCCCCTTGATCTGATGGAGCTCCTGGCTGCTGTCTTCAGCTGGGTCCAGTGCTGGCTTGGCAGGCATGTGGGCGTGAGCCAGCGGACTGACTGTCCCTGTCCCACATATCTGTCTCCCTGCCTGTCAAAACACAAATGGCAACATTTGATTGATGTGCCTAGGGAGACTTTGAGCTGTGATGACGCTGACACTGACAGTGTCTGTCAGCTCCTTCAGTTTATTTGACAAAATGTGGAGGAGCAAAGAGGCAACGAGGGAGTTTCTGATTTTTCATGTCCTGAGCTGGGGCCTATCTATGCCAGGACCTGGAGCTCACTATCTTCACCACACGCTTGCGTCTTTGCAGTTCTGTGTGGTTCATGTGTGTGTGCTGCATGTATGTGAGATGTCACATGTGTGTGTACTGCATGTGCGAATGGAGCCCAAACATGTATAAGATTGAGTGGTCCATGTCTGTGCTGCATCTGGAATGTCACACACGTGTGCACACTGCATGCATGATAGATTTTACTTGGAGCCCATGCATGTGTATGAATGTGTGCACTACAGAAAAGTGATAGATGGTGTCAGGAAATGAACTCCCAGTCAGACCTATGACCTGGAGCCTGCTCCCTGGGACTGGCCATGGCCCCTGCCACCCAGGTGAGACTGGACACCCCGGGCAGCTCCTGCCACCCTGGCAATGCCACTGGCGGCTCCCAGAAATACCTGGGGGAGAGTCCCTGGTGAGCCTGTCCTGTCATCCAGGGCAGCATGCACTGGGGAAGGAGATGCAGGTGCACAGATGCGACTCCCAGGTGCGATGTGAGGTCGTCGCCAATGTCAGCACCCACCACACGGACGCCCCAGGGTCAGGGGGCTGCAATGGCTGAGGGGGCTCACAGACTGTGGACTCTGCCCCACCTGCGCACACATCTGTCACTGAGAGGCCCGGGCCAGGGCTCAGCTGCGGAGTAGCTTCCAGTTGAGTGCAATGACATCACAGACGAAGCTGCCAGCCCCAACAAAGTCACCCGCGATAATGTTGGTGCAGCGGGAGCCAGATCCCGGACACTGCTCACGCACCCAGGCGGTCAGCATGGGCAGGCCTGCCAATGTCACCTGGCTCAGGGACCTCGACAGATGCGCCAGGACGTAGGTCAGGTGCCCTGTGAGGTTCACACCCGCTGCGAACAGTCCACCTGCAGGTTACAGAGGAGGGGTTGGGTTATACAGGGCCAACAGAAAGTGGAATTAGAAGAGGGGCAGGGCCTTGAACCCAGACCCTTGGACACAGGACGCAATCACTAGGAAATACCTGCCTTCCATGAGCTCTGTAACACCGTCATGGGTGTCCACATATATGTGTGCATATGTAGAGAGATACCCCAACACGGCCACATGTGTACACGCATTTAAGTGTGTGTCCCTGCATGTGCATGATCATCTATGTGTGTGGCAGTGTGTACTGGGTCATGCATATGTGTTTATATCACCACATACATCCCATGGGTGCACATGTGTCTCTGCATGTGTGTGCTTGTGTACATGTGCAAGCATGCACACAAGAAGCATGTTTCACTTTTAACTTTCACTTAAATGTAAAAGCAGGGGCTGGTTACGGGCCAGCGGTTAAGATGCCAGGTCCTTGGTGCCAGCGCTGTAGCTTGACAGCTGTAGCTGTGCCTGTGATGCCTGCATCCCATGTGGGCACCAGTTGGGGTGCCAGTTGCTCCATTTCCCATCCAGCTCCCTGCTAATGGCTTGGGAAAGCAGTGGAGGATGGCTCAAATGCTTGGATCCCTGCACCCATGTGGGAGACCTGGATGATGCTCCTGGCTCCTGACTTTGGCCTGGCCCAGCCCCAGCCACTGCAGCCATTTGGGGAGTGAACCAGCAGATAGAAGCTCTTGGCTCCTGAATGGAGCTCCCTGCTCACAAACACCTGGGAGGACCCACATAGTAGCCCCCCTACCTGGGCGGCCGCAGCTCTTCATGCGTTCCAGGTAACTGATGAGGGCCTTGGTATTCACCTGGTCTGCCCACCAGCAGGGGACCCCAGGCCACAGCTCCCGGTGCCGCCTCACGGAGCCTTCATGCTCATAGGACACGAGGACCTGCTGGCCGCGGGCCCACAGTTGCCGCAGTGTGGGCACTTCCTGCAAGCATGGGAGTCACTGGTGGGCAGACCATGTCACCTGCTGGACCTCCAGCTGGAAGACGCCATGACCCAGGACTCCCAGCATGCAGCAGGTGACCCAGCAGGCAGGACCCCTGCTGCAGCCACTTCTGAAGCAGGAACCTTGGCCACTCATCTGCCTCAGGTGTTTCCTGCACCTGACCCACTGTCCCCATCCCTCCTACTCCTTCTCCTCACCCCTCGAGGACACAGCATGTCCCCAAAGATGTTCTGGATGCAGGTGACCAGGTACTCGTGCAGGTGTGGGGTCATGTCCTCAAAGTGCCTGCAGGCCAGGATGATGACCTCCTGCGGGTGCTTCTGCAGCCACTCCGAGATGTCTGTGAGGGTGTCCTGGGTATGCAGGAAGGCCCATGGGTCAGTGGGGCGGTGCTCAGGGGGACACGGGCTGGCCTGGACAGGTCAGCAAGCCCAGGCTCCAGGTCAGGGCTGAGGGAGAAGTTACCCAAGGGAGGGAGGATGGGGAGAGGGGGAGCCCAGCAGGGAGGTGTGTGTGCATGTGGAGTGTGCTACATGTATAAGTGATGTGCATGCACACATGAACTTTGCATGTGTGATATGTGTGAAGCGTGTGCACACATTGTGTACATGTGCACACTGTATACATGTGAAATCTTGCACATTTGTGTATGTGAATTTTGTGTGTGTGATGTGTGTACATGTGTGTGCAGTGCATGCATGTGTGTGTGACTGACAAGACTGCATGTATGCAAAGGTGTGAAGTCTACAAGCTCCAGGGAGTAAGCATGGAGTGTCCAGTGCAGAATGAGATTAGCCAGGGCACAGTTGAGCTCAGCAGGTGCAGCTCAAGCCCCAGGCTCAGTACTTGCTGACCCCTCCACTATGTCCCTGGGGCCCACAGGGTACCCAGGCGCTGCAGGCTGCAGGCAGGGTGAGCACACCCCACACTCAGCTTTCAGAGCACCCACGGAAACAGGAGCAGAGGGGGAACAGGTGGGACCCTCAGCTGCAGGCAGGGAGCCCACCTGGCGCCCCTCACAGTGCTGAGGACTGCGGGAAGCTGAGCTGAGTGCAGAAGGAAGCAGTGCAGGCTCTGATATGCACACATGGCTCAGGAGCCCAGAATGGTTACCCTCAAGGGCTCAGCAGCCCCCTACCCACAAATGGCTGCCAAAGCCCTGTCATCCATTAGCCCTCCTGCTGTGTGCACACCTGGAGGCTCTCTCCACAGGCACACCTGGCCCCTACCTCCACCAGTGCTGTGCTGTACACCTTGTGCACAAAATGCAGATTCTTCTCCGAGCCGCCTGGCATGTGGGCAATACACAGGTCCAGGTACCGCACACCTGCGTCCAGCTGCTCCGTGACATCCAGTGTCTGTGGACAGAGGCTGTGGTCACCTCTGTCCCTGGGGCCACTTGCTCTCCAGGTGACCCGGCCTCCTTCTCACAGAGGCTGCTGGACCTGTTGGAGGACAAGCTGTGTCTTTCTCCTTTTGGATCATTTGGGTTGGCAGCCAGTTTGTTTGTTTGACTTGCACCACGCACACAGGAGGGACCCCACTGTACTGCCTTGGTGGGAGCTGCCCACCATCCCCTGTGCACACAAAGCCTCACCTGGGTGATGGACCACCGCAGCACCATGGGCAGCGTCACACAGGGCAGCACCTTGCCCAGCACCTGCAGCAACCTGGACTCAGAGTGGGAGATGGGGGACTTCCTGCTCAAGCAGTAGGTCATGGTGTCACGACTCCCTGCAAGCCAACGGAGGGGACTGGTCAGCCGCGGTCACTTCTGGGGCCAGCCCAGAGCCGCAGCTACCCAGGGCTGAGCAGGGAACCGTGTGGTCAGACACCCACGGCCACCTGGGGCCTGGGATGGCACCACATCTGGGAGCTGGGTCTGTGCAGGGGTCATGAAGGGAAGGACACTCGGCAGTCATCCTGGATCATGGCAGGCCCTGAGTCCATTGAGACACAACAGGGGACACTGACAGGGAGGAGGGGATGGAGGCAGTGATTGGAGGGGTGCAGCCACCGGCCTAGGACACCTGGAGCTACCAGGAGGTGGGAGAGGCAGGAAGGAGCCTCCCCTGGACACACCTGGACCTCAGATCCATGTTGTCCAGGACCAGGAGAGGGGACAGATGTTTGGCTTAAGGCCCTGGTTCTTGGTTCTTTGCTACATCAGCCTGGAATACTCACCCACATGGAAATACAAGTGAGCTGCAGAAAGGTGAGCAGGTAGATGACAATGTTCAACACCTGCCTGGTGCTGTAGTTTATGTGTAGTTTGCATGTGTGTTGTATGTGCACTACATACAGATACAGCCACATCTGGGGAGAACCCATTCACATGTATGTCATATTTTCTTAAACAACATCTCAGAGAGAGTGCCCATGCGCTGGCTCATCTTCTCCACATGCCTGCCACAGCCCAAGCTGAGCCAACCCCAGGAGCTGAAAGGTGAGGGCTGTACCTGCCTCTTTCTGCTAAGCCTCGTGGGGACTGGGCCTGAAGCCCCAGGGACAGCTGGGGTGGGTCACTTCAGAGCTTTCCAGAACCTTCCCTAAGGGTCTCGGCTGCAGGGTGCAAATCTGATAGGGAACCTGTGCTGGGAGCTTCTTCAGGCAGATGTGGTGGTTGGGGGAGGTAGGCTGAAATCCTAGGGCCACCAGGACCCTTCCAGCCAAGGACCTGGGCAACTCTGGATAGAGACAGGCTAGCTCAGGGGTCTCGGGAGAGGTCTCCCAGGAGACAAGTGCCCAAGCCCCATTTAGGAGACCCCTGTATACCTTGTACACAGCCCTTGGCCTCTCTGTGGTCCCTAGCAGGTCGGCCAAGGTGGGCCAATTCCAACTGCACTAGCAGACACCTGGATCCTGGTATCTTGCTCCAACCTCACCTGGAGACCCTGGGACTCTGCTCCAACCACATCTGAAAATACCTGGACCCTGGAATCCAGCACAAAACACACCTGCAGATACCTGAACCATGGGAACCTGGAACCCGGGTTCAACTCCATTTAGAGACACCTGGATGGGTGTCTCCAACTGCACCTGGAGACTCCTGACTCTAAGAACCTGGTCCAACTGCATGTGGTGACACTTGGACCTGGGACTGTTTCAACCCCCTCAGGACCATGGTCCAACTGTACCTGGAGACACTGCATACTAGGACCTTGCTCTAAACATGCCTGGGACACCTGTACCATAAGAACCTGCTCCACCCTCACCTTGGGATGCATGGTCCCTGGAATATGGGGGGGGGGGGAGCCGCCAGCACCCTCTCTGGTTTCAGAACAAAGAGCAGCACCAGCCAGCACCACAGGTTTCTTTACTGGGATGGTTCTGACAGAATGGGGGCAGTGCCCATAGGTAAACAGGGGTTTCTATGAGAAGATATTGGGCACTCTGTGTGACCAGGGTACAGGTCCAGCTGGGCACAGAGCACAGGTCCACCTTCAGGCAGGACCAGGGCAGTGTGGCAGTGGCTTATGCAGGTGATCATGGGATCCAGGTTGCTCATCCCATGGTAGCTGAGAGCCTCACACCTGCCTGGGCCCTGGGCAGAGATGGTGAATCTGCAAGAATGTGCAAACCACATCATGTAATGCCAGCTTTCTGCTCATGCACACCTGTGAGGTAGCACTGATGGCTCAGGTCCTTGTGGACCTGCCACCCACATGGGAGACCTGGATGGAATCCCTGGATCCTGGTTTCACCTGGCCCAGCATTTGTGGAGTGAACCAGTAGATGGGAACTTTCTGTATCTGTCTCCTTCTATGCTTCTGAAATACATATTTTTTTATTCAGTCCCTGATCATTTAAGCTCCTGCTGGTTGGCCTGGGCCAACTTGTGAAGATGCACTAAGATGCCAGGATGAAGACAGAGGATAGTCATGTGTGTACATACATGCATATGTGTATACATGTATGATCTCACATGTGATGTCAATGCATATGGATTCATGTATGCATGAATGGGAGTGTATGTGTGTGTGTAATTATGGATGCATGCATATATACATGCACGTGTACATGTGTGTGTTGTGTACACACATGTACTTATGTGTGCATGCATCTGTGTGTGTGTGTGCATGTGACCATGGGCACTTGTGTAAACAGGTAAGTACATAGCCATGTTCTGTACATGCCAATAGTTTCACAAATGCATGGGTATGAATGTGTGCACATATGTATAAACTGTACATGTGTGTACACACATGAATTCATTGTTATGCATATATTTACATGTACAAATATGAATATGTGTATTGTGGACGTGGGCACACATTTCCTGTGTGTGTGTATGGGCTCACATGTATGTGAATGCATATAGAGGCACACATGTGTGAATGTGTGCACATGTTCATATGTGCAAACAAGAGTATACACACTTTCATCTGTGTATCTGTGTCCACACATGTGTGCCAGGTGGGGTTTCCCTCACCCAGCACTGCTCCTGATGCCATCATTCATGCAGGGCCATGCAGAGACATGGCCCCCAGGCCTGACCTCACCTGGGATGGACAAGTGGTGCAGGGGCAGGTCCCAGAGCTGGGGGCACAGCATCGACATCCAGTCAGAGTTCAGGTGCGGGCTGGAGGCCATCACCCCAATTACTGCAGGAGATGCCAGGAAGTGAACCTGAGGGAGGACAGGGGATATTGGGGTGAAAACCCATGCTGCAGGTGAAGAGCAGCTCAGGTGTGTGGGGCACAGTGAATCTCTCAGGAGAGGAGCTCAGGTGTGTGGGAGCACAGTGAATCCCTCAGGTGAGGAGCTCAGGTGTGTGGGAGCACAGTGAATCCCTCAGGTGAAGAGCAGCTCAGGTGTGTGGGAGCACAGTGAATCTCTCAGGAGAGGAGCTCAGGTGTGTGGGAGCACAGTGAATCCCTCAGGTGAGGAGCTCAGGTGTGTGGGAGCACAGTGAATCCCTCAGGTGAGGAGCAGCTCAGGTGTGTGGGAGCACAGTGAATCCCTCAGGTGAGGAGCTCAGGTGTGTGGGGCACAGTGAATCCCTCAGGTGAGGAGCAGCTCAGGTGTGTGGGAGCACAGTGAATCCCTCAGGTGAGGAGCAGCTCAGGTGTGTGGGAGCACAGTGAATCCCTCAGGTGAGGAGCAGCTCAGGTGTGTGGGAGCACAGTGAATCCCTCAGGTGAGGAGCAGCTCAGGTGTGTGGGAGCACAGTGAATCCCTCAGGTGAGGAGCAGCTCAGGTGTGTGGGAGCACAGTGAATCCCTCAGGTGAGGAGCTCAGGTGTGTGGGAACACAGTGAATCCCTCAGGTGAGGAGCTCAGGTGTGTGGGAGCACAGTGAATCCCTCAGGTGAGGAGCAGCTCAGGTGTGTGGGAGCACAGTGAATCCCTCAGGTAAGGAGCTCAGGTGTGTGGGAGCACAGTGAATCCCTCAGGTGAGGAGCAGCTCAGGTGTGTGGGAGCACAGTTTACTTCTTTCAGGTGAGAATGAGGTCATGGCGAGAGCCAGGGCTATGGCCAGGAGGACAAGGTCAGAGTCAGGGTCAGGAGGCGGCCAGGCAACAGGAGCAGGGACTTGGGTGCAGGTGTCAGCCCAAGACAGGGGCACACACCTGACACTCCCAATCACACACCTGGTGCTGTCACCTACCTGACACTCTCATTACATACCTGCCCCTGCACCCCTTATTCCATCATGAACATGGCGCCCGTCTGTATCATGAGGCCAGCCCCTGCCCTCCCCATTGCTGGTTAGTCCCCTTTACACCCAGAGGGAGGAGCCCTGACTGGAAGCTGGTTCGTGCCCTGCCCTGCCCCTCACTGCTGTGTGCATCAGGACTCCCGGGCAGGGGCCAGGAGCTGGGACTGATGGGGCCTGGGGGCAGGCACCTGCCATCCACCTAGGAGACACGGAAGGAGTTCCTGGCTCCTGAATCCAGCTCCCTGCTTATGCACACCTAGGAGGCAGCAGTGATGACTCTGGTACTTATGTACCTGCCACCCACCCAGGAGACCTGGAAGGAGCACCTGGCTCCTGTCTTCAGCCTGGCCCAGCCCTGGCTGTTGTGCACATTGGGGAGCACACTGGTAATCTCTCTCTACCTTTTAAATAAGTAGTCAGGATCGGCATGAACCTGTAATTTATCACAGCTCCTGTCAGAAACTAAATTCCCAACTTCCACTGAACACGAGACGGGTATTCACGAGGAAGAGTTTGCACAGCCAGCATCAGAAACTGCACTAAAAGCCAAGGCTGTAAGTCACTGAGACAGCTTAACCACATCACCAGCCCTGGCACTGCCCTCCCTGCTTTGCTGAGGTTCCTGCTCCTGCTGTCACTCATAGCCATGGCGTGTGCGGGGCAGGATCTGCCCACCTGGAGGCTCCAGCCAGCCAGCCCCAGACTCCCTGAACACTGCACCTCACACTGCAGAACTTGGCCAGTCTCACCCCAAACGGACAAAAATGTTTTCCTCTACCCTCTTGGGTTCAGTGAGGTCTGAGAATTAAACAAACTAAATCTAGATGAACAAGAGACAACACACATGGCATTTCCCATGTAAGGATTGATTTTATTACTTGAAAGGGGGGGAGGGGGGAGAGGGAGAGAGGGAGGAAGGGAGAGAGGGAGGGAGAGAGAGACACACACACACAAATCTTCTATCTGATGTTTGACGCCCTGGATGGCACCCTCGGGGCACTGTGCTATCATCACCAGCTCTGATGGAGTGTCACAGCTGTCCACCATGCTGCTGTTCACCATTGTAATAGAGCCGAGTCAGCCCTGAGAATCTACCAGGATCGTGCACTCGAGAAGGGACATGTGCAGGTGTCACAGCACTTCTGGGAGAGGAGGGGTCACTCAGACACACAGCTTCTCTCATGCCCAGTTGTGTGGATGTGTGGATGGTTTTACAGGGTGATGGATTGTGATTGGATGGATGGGTGGGTAGATACATGGGTAGATGGGTGGGTGAGTGGGAAAATGGATGATGGCTGGATGGGTATATGAATAGATAGGTGGGTGGGTAGATGCATGGGTGCAGGCAGTGGCAGATAGATGGATGGACAGATGGGCAAGTGAATGGATGATGGATGGACAGATGGGTGAGTGAATGGATGAGGGGTGAGTGGGTGGATGGGCAGGTGGACAGGCAGATGGATAGTACATGAATGGGTGGGTAGATGGATGGCTGGATGGGTGAATGGATGATGGATGGGTGGATGGGTAGATGGATGATGGATGGATGGGTCAATGGATGATGGATGGATGAGTGGATGGGTGGGTAGATGGTGGTGATGGATGGGTGTGTGGGTGCACAAGTGGATGAGTATATGTTTGGGTGGATGCAAGGTTGATAGATGAATGATGGATGGCTAGGGGGTGGATGAGTGGATGGGTGATGATAGTGATGGTGGATGGATGGACAGGTAGGTGGATGGGTGGATGGATAAGCAGATGGGTATGTGGTTGGGTGGATGACAGATGAATGATGGATGGATGGATGGATGGATGGATGGATTGGTGGATGGACAGATGGGTGACTCACAGGTCATTACCCACAGGGACCCTAACCCCTTCTGGAGAGAAATTCTGGAGTCACCCTGTGAACAGGGAGCTCTTCTCCCAGTGTAGCTCCCTACCTACACCCAAAGACCCTGCAGCATGGGTCCCCAACATGGGACTGTGCCTGCACCACACATCTTGGGCACTGGATCAGGCTGCACCGTGTACCATCGACACAGGACTGCACCTGCACCCCCAACAGAGGACTCGCCTGTACTGTACACTCTGGACATGGGACCAGGCCTGCACCATGAACCCTGGATATGGGACCGCACCTGTGCTGTGCACCCTGGACATGGGGCTGCACCTGCAGGGTGGATCCTCTACCCAGGACCACACCTGCACCCTCGACACAGAACTTGCCTGTACTGTGCACTCTGGACACAGGAATGGGCCTGTACCATGTACCCTGGACATGGGACCATGCCTGCACAATGCACCCTGCACATGGGATTGCACCTGTGCCATGTGCCCTGGACATGGGATTGCACCTGCACCACACACCCTCGACGTGGGACAGCCCTTGCAGGGCAGGTCCTTGACATAGGACCACACATGCACCTGCACCCTCAACATGGGACCATGCCTGTACCACACGTCCTGGGCACTGGATCATGTCTGCTCCATGTACCCTCAGACTGCACCTGCACCGTGGATCCTCTACATGGGACCACACCTGCACCCTGGGCACAGGACTCACCTGCACTGTGCACCCTGGACACAGGACAGTGCCTGCACCATGCACCCTGGACATGAAACACAACTGTACCTGCACTGTTGATGAGACCATACCTGCACCATGCGCCCTGGATACAGGACCATGCCTGTATTGCATGCCCTCAATATAGCACCACGCCTGTGCCTGCCCTGTGTGCTGTGGACACAGGACTGCTGCCTGCACTGAAGGACATGATGTCCTGACCCTCGAAGGGGGCAGAGAGATGCAACCCTAGTACAGGCCTTTCAGCCTGAGAGGCACATTGGATGGCCTGATTCTGCACCTAAGAGAGCCTCCCAAGGGAACACAACACACACATCCCCTCCCGGGAGCCACCCATCTTGCTAGTGAGATGGAAGACGACCCCATCCTGCCAGAGCAACCCCATTCACACCTGGTACCTCGCTAACCTTAACCTCAATTGCATCAGACCAGAGCCAGGCCCCTCCTGGTCCCTACTGCATGCATCTGA